AAAAAAAAAACTCCATAGAAATAGCGTATTCCGTTCGTTCCCTTAAAAATCAAATCTAAACGGCAATTGAGAGCGTTTTTGAAAAATAAGAGGATGTTTTGATATTTTTTTGAAAATATCGTTGACAAAACTGTTCATGATTGACATGGCTTTGCTGGAAACACCAGTGTCTGTGTTAACTTGTTATATTAGTCACAAACTGAATGCAAAAACGCATATCGCAAAATTCGCGTTTTCACTGCATAACCTAGAGAAAAACCATTTATATATCAACGAGCGTAATATTAAAGAAATCACAATTAAAAGCGGATTTTAAGCAATTGTCTTTTCTTTATATTCTGAGTGCGAATTGCTTTTATTTTTTGATAAATATTACATTTAAAATATTAATATTAAATGTGTTGATTTTTTTCAATTCTTTATGAAAAATATTTTGGTGGCCCTGAAAAGGGCCGTTTTATGTACAATGTTTCAATATGTGAAACACATTTAGGCTTTTTTGGTTTCGGTCTTTTTTGGCAGCAAGACGGCTTGGATGTTTGGCAAAACACCACCTTGTGCGATTGTAACTCCTGACAAGAGTTTGTTTAATTCTTCGTCGTTACGGATGGCCAATTGCAAATGACGAGGAATGATACGTGTTTTTTTGTTGTCACGGGCAGCGTTACCTGCCAATTCCAAAACTTCAGCAGCCAAGGATTCCATGACGGCAGTCAAGTATACTGATGCACCAGCTCCGACACGTTCAGCGTAGTTTCCTTCGCGCAACAAACGATGGATACGACCGACTGGGAATTGAAGACCAGCACGGGTTGATCGTGACTTTGCCTTTGACTTTAATTTGCCGTTGACTTTACCGCGTTCCAGACATCTTTGTATACTACTTGCACGAGTGACAAAAATAGAATGAAGCTCTTGCTACGCAATGCGCTTGCTTTTATACTTTCACGAGCATAGCACAGTCGACGAAATGGGCGGGGCTTAGAATCTCGGTCGCGTGCGTCATTCCGTTCACTGCATCGCTATAAAAGGGAGAGCGTTTTCAGTGTCGGCATTCAGTTCGTGTTCATCACTCAAACGATTGAAATTAACAGCTATAATGGCACCGGTGATGGCTCAAAAAATCCCTTAAAACGATTTTCATGTATGTCAAATAACTATATTTAATCAGTAGTAGACACGTTCACTGATTGAATTGACATGATTGTGACACGTTTGGCGTGGATGGCGCACAAGCTTATGTATTTGAACAAACCAATCAAGTAGGCTTCGCTGCCTCATTGCACAGCAACAACAGTTGAGCTCTGGAAACGCAAATCACTCTTGAAATCCTGATTCGGCTATTATACGAACCGACCGTTGGAATGGTGATTTGCGGATCAACAAATCACTTGATTTCTGGTAACAACGGTTGGTTGCCAATTTTTCACATGATGCCGTATAAATGTAGTGTACCGTTTCTTCACGTTTGTCTTTCATCGCATAAAGAGCAGGTATAGGAGGAAAAGACACAATTAACAAAATATTTGTTTGTCTCTTTAAATGAAAGATTCACCGCTCAATTTATACTTAGAACAAAAAAGTCTCTGTTTTTTTGCTGCTTTTCTGTGGATTATTTAAATACAAAGTTTATTTCCCTTTCAAAAAAATCTTATGTCGAACATTTTACGGTTTCAAGATTTTGAATTTTGAATTTTGAAGGTGTAGATATGGTCTCTTCTGCTTACGATTCTTCTTTTTCTCTCCTTTTCGGTGCCATTGTGACTTTCAATGTTTATCGTTTGTATAATAATGAACACAAGTACTGAATGCCGAAATGCATATCGCAAAATTCGCGTTTTCACTCGTCGTTTATAAAAACAATGAATAAAAAATGATTTTTTTAAAAGTTCCTTATACAAAATTACTTTTTTTTTATTTATTTAAATGGTTTTTAGAAAATTGTTTTCTTTCTGTAATTATATTTAACATTCGGCGAAATTCACACAGCCACTCGGCGGTCAATTCAATGGGCTCTGGCAAACATGCAAGGTGAAACCATTCAATTGGACAATTTTCGTTATCGCATGCAACCATCAAGCGGCCATCGTCAGGTCCCCGGCACTTCTCCTCTCTTCCTCTTTCACTTTGAATCGCGATATTTACCTATAGTTGATTTTTTTTTCAATTTCGATGGAAAACTGTATTTAGTTTCTCACATGGTAAACGCATATTGGTATGATCGATGTAAAATGTGTACCAAATAACAGCCATAGTGTGACTACAGCAGCCAACAGATCTTAAGCCATTTTGACATGAGCATGAATACTGTTGGACTTTATACTCATTCTTGTGATTCATTCCAAGAAGCACATAGGTTGAGTGTTTTTTATTTGAAACAAAACGTGAGGGCAGATTTGCTAATAGTAAAAGTGGTCTTATGGAGACTGGATCTAAAAACTGCTGGCAATGCCGTATACATTGATCCATTTCACAAACGTTTATGATGAAATTATTGTTGTCCAAGTGCATTTGGCAGTAACTTCTTGCTTGATTTATTTGGTACGTTCCTTGGCTTATAATTTTCAATTCATCTTTAGTCATTTTCGGATACAAACTTAAATTGTTCACAGCATGGAAAGAATTTTTTGGTATCTTTTATACAACAGTATTAAAATTATTTCTTATATTAAGTTTAGCAGACATTGCAGTGGATATTTGTTGCCAATCATCTTTATCGCTAAGAATATCATTAGAGAAAGAATTTATCAAGGCTGCAACTACTCTGAAATCTTTTTTTAGAAATGGAATGGAATGGTGAGTGTGTACATTTTTCAAATACTTCCAAATGTTTTTCAAATGTCCGTTTCTTACTTCTACAACGAAACGCGCTTTAGTCACAAATCTTGTTTCATTTGCTATTTTTGTTGAAAACTGTTTTTGTCTTTTATTCAAAAACGCTGGAATTTTAACAATAAATTTTCGATCTTATCATCATACACAGAAAGATTTTTGCAAATAAACCGCTCTGATGCGTAGATATGGAATCTCGCCATTTGTTCGATAATTAATGCAGCATCAAGACTGCAAATTCTTTGCTGTGTCATATCCAAACGAATGGCTCTTGCCCGATCCCAGATGAAATTGTAGATCTCTCCCAAATCAGTTCCTTCCTCATCAATTTGTGACTAGCTGTACACCCAATAACATCAACATACAACAGAAAGCAGTCGGTAGCAAATATGATACAACTCCGTTTTCTATTCTTATTACATGTTGAATATTACGGTTCTCTATTTTTCAACCGAAACATCGTGTTTTTCAATTTCTTCGTGTCAAGTCTTTTGAACTAATTTATGAATCGAAAGTACTTAGATTCAATTCAGACACTTATCTTGCTGTTTATTATCTAATATTTTCTGTACAAAAGGTCTCACACATTTTGAGTAAAATTCCGAAAATAACACGAAAAAACTATATGATTTATATGCCGATGTGGGGAGAAATGACAGATCTATTATTTATACGCGGAAATTATCAAAGAAAATAGAATTATTTTATTTTGAAAATAAATGCTCAAATCGGAATAAAAATTTCTGTTCAAATGGTAATTGCGCCTCGCTCAAGATATCAATTTCAATATTTCAGTGTTTCTTTCATAAGTTCATTCCTTCTAATTTGGACAAATGCGTAAAACCCACTTTTCATGGTAATTTTTTAAATAAAATTACGCAAAAAT